GGCTCTGTAGGCTAAGCTAGCCATGCCCTGCCAGTTGTGCATGGTTGGAAGGAGGGCTCTAAAAGGAAGAAGCTGCTGTCAGCAAGGGGGGAGGGGGACGTCCTGAGAAGGGAGTGACCCCTGAAACAGCAGGAGGAACTGCCACACCGGAGCCCGCCCACCCCCACTCTTCAAGGAGTCCAGCTCACCCCAGGGGCAAGCCCAAAAGGGAGAGACCAGCTCGGCTACCTGGCTGTAAGGACTACCTGTAGTAAGGTGGTGCCACTGATCTTTTTGCATTGTCTTGACCTCAGAAGGGGCTTGTGTTTTGTTATCTGCACTTTTGCTTCCCCCTCCCCCAAAAACAAAGGAAGTAGGTCCGTAGCAGGGAGGGGGCCCACTGCAAGGACTAAGTGGCTGAGGCCTGTACTAGGCTAACTCCTCCTTTCCTCCCCAGTGATAACTGGGTGTGGCAAGGGGCCCCAACCCAGGTAGGTCCCCCAGAGAGACACTCTGTACAGCATCTCACACTCCTCTTAATGTATGTATTTGTCCTCCCAACACCTCTGTGAGGCAAGGCAGTGCTATTGTCCCCATTGTACAGAGGGGGAACTGAGGCCTTGGAGACCTTGCAATTTAATTCCTGGCCAGTCCCATTCCTCGCTGAGTTCTGTGGCAGGAGAAATTCCATTATGACTTTAAAGTAGTTCCTGGGAGTCAGTTCTCTGGATAAATGTTAGGAATAGGCTCAGAAGAATATCACATGAATACAGTTTAAACTGCATTTCTTATTCTTTACTGAGTAAACAACACTAGGTTAAGTTACCATAACTCTTCAGGGCATTAGATTGTGTTCATTCTTGCAATGTATGTTTGTGGTTACTGCAGTTAGGTTCAGCTTACAGACTTCTAAGCCAACATTTTACACAGTGGCCAGCAATTTTGGGAAGCTTAATTTGAAATATCTTAAAAGGTCCTAATTTTCAGAAAGTCCTGAGCACCTACACCCTGTACACAAGACCTCTGTAATGTGTCTCAGGTTAGGCACCCAAAATCAGTAGTCACTCTGGAAAATTGTGGCCCTACTCTTATATGTCATCATGGCTTTCGAGAGAGGCAGCATGCACATTCTTCCATGTCAAGGTGCTCTCTGCCTGCAGCACCCGCTCATTGCCAGTGGAAGTCCACTCTAGCTATCTGCTGCTAGCACACTCCTCCTGGGCTCTCTGACATTAGATTGTACATACTGCTAGGCCAGGGGTTCTCTACTGTGGGAGTACAGATTCTGTCCTGGTAGTAGAACAGGGAATTCGCTTGAGAGCCAGCAGGCTGCATACAGTCAAAAGTCATGGGAAGGAGATGCAGACTCTTAACTTCTTTAACGGTCCATGCTTAACATCAATTATTTGTAATACAGTAGTGCCTGGAGGCCCCAACCAAGACTGGGGCTTTACCGTGCTAGGCGCTGTACAAACCCATAGTGAGAGATGGTCCCTAAGAGCTTACAAGACAAAGGTTAGGTGAGGAAATAGAGGCACAGAGAGAATTAAGAGACCTGCCAAAGTTCACACAGAAGACCAGTGGCAGATGTATGGACTACTATCCAGTGCCCTGTCCACTAGACATTGCTGCCTTCAAGGTTTAGAAAATCATTACATCCTTGAAGATTTTTCCCAGTGCTTAGAATTGTATCTTGAACACTGAGTTTTGCTGTCTCTCCTCCTCAGAAGCAGCACAATAAAAATGCAAAAAGTGTAAATAACAAAGAAAGGTTAAACGATGAGGTGCTGAAATTAGATAGCATATGATAAGTGAGCAGCACATCCCTTCATCTGTCACTCAAGGGTGACTGGAGCAGTGATGAATGGCCCACTTCTGACATTAAAATCTAGACCCAAGTTTGAAATATGCCAGATAGACTGCTCGTGCCCTGCTTCCATGCATTGCACTGAGTCCTGCAGGGCTGTGGTCAGAACTGCAAAAGGCCAGATCAGGGTATGTCTATACTGAAGCAGAAGAAATCATTTGCAGCTCAGGTAGCCATACCCCCACTCGCTCTGATTGAGCTAGCGCACTACAAAGAGCAGAGTAGTCCTCTGAAACCTTTGGGGTGATTAGCCCCATCTCACTGACCACGTAGCTGTGTCTACAACTGCTATTTTTAGTGTGCTGGGCTAGCACACATACGTCTACCTGAGCTGGAAATTAAACTCCATGGGACTGCTGAGCATGGTGCTTTGTTAATCATGCTCCCTTCAAAGGAAGAGAGCAGGTGCTGCATTCTAGTGGGCACCAAGATCCAGTGAGATGGCAAAAAGTTTGGGCCCACCACATAGTGGGAATGTTTGCTTAGAATCCTTAGACACATTTCTGTGTAGGTGGATAGTTCTCATGGCTGTCCTTGCTCTTGGTTCCTTCTAAATGCAGCTCTGAAGCACGCAGATCTAGACAGTATTTCTGGCATAAACAAAGAACCACAAAATGGCCAGCACATTCGTCATTTGCATTTAGGTGTATCTGAAAAGGTTACTCGTTTCTAAAAATACAAGGAGTTGGCTAAGTACAGGGAGAGGCATCGTGATGTTTTCAATCATGGACTTTCTATTATCAGAGAGAGAGTTTTCTAAACTATATATGTTATAAGCTAGCATGTTCAGCTACTACAGTGCTGGGCACCATTGTAAAAACCTAGGGATGTTGCTCATTAGTCCCCACGCTGGTCAGTTAGGGAACAACATTGATGAGAATTTTGAAGAGAAGCTTGTGCAGGCTACTGAGAGGTCAACTATGATGGCTGCAACTCAAGGCCTTAGATAGAGAGGAAACTTGAGTGGGATACTCAGGACTTCCCAAGAAGAGAATACAGGATGTTTCAGTGAGTACAGGACTAGGAGTCAGGAGACATGGGCTCTACCCCTGCCATTGCCACTGATGTGCTAGATGGCCTTGGGCAAGTTACTTCATTTTTGTGCCTCATTTTACCTAGCTATAAAATGGGAATAATCAAGTACTCAGCTACAAGGGAGAAGTGCTATACAAGAAATGAGTACACACCACAGAAACAAGCAAATTCCTCGTCCTCCCACCCCAACAATGATGATATTGGAGCTCTATAGATGTTGTCTTTTAATTACTTTCAACCTTCAGTTTCTTGTGTAACCTCTGAATGTTTAGGTTTAAAAATGAAATCCAAGATTACAGTTAAAATATCTGCAGTACATGAAAAATAAATGTACAGACATAAATGTCTGATTTTAGTTAGAAGTGGTGATCTGTGCCCTGCCCCCCTCTCAACCCAATATGGCAAGAACACTGGAACTATCCCTTTAATTAGGAGCTCATTAATAAATCCATCTTGTTCTCAAATCCCCACACACATAGTACAGTAGTTCATTAGCACAGGAAGAGGCAATTTAGATTTCATCAGATGATAGCATCTGTCACTAATCAAATTAAGGGAGGATGTGCAAATGTATCTAAAGCTGGACAGAGCATTTTGGAGGAGAGAGGAAGGAAAACAACAATCCAAAAGAAACTGGAAGAAGGAAACAGAACAGCTGAGAGAATTATCTACCAAAGGCCCAAGAAACTCTCCTGCCAAAAGAGAGGTCCTCAGTGTTGGTTTAGGTTAAGATTCCACTTTAATCCAAATGACAAAGGGCTGGGCTATGCAGCTGCCAGTTCTCACAATCACATTCCTGCTTTGAAACATGCCACAGCAGAAATAGTTAGCAGAGGCCATGGGTCATGCTGAGCACCTTCTATTAACACTGATTCATTTCATTCGATGGGGCACAGTATGTAGACTTCTTCTGAAATCCAGGGTGTAGCTGATGGTGGAAACATTCTGAATTTGCCAAGCAAGGAGTGCTGGGTGCTTGCTGTTCAGAGTTGAGATCCAGCACCTTCCTAGCTCTGGAAAAATAAAAAAATGGGAGCAGCTATTGCTCAAACATAGGGCTGAGGTCAATAGGAAATGCTTATCTTTTTGAGTGACATGTATGATATTTTCAATTGGCCTGATGGTACAGTCTTTTCTCATAAGTTGCACTAACTCACTCACTGAGGTTGGTTCTGATTAGGCATGTAATAACATAGGAATTGCCAGAGCTGAACAGGACAGTTGTCCATAAAGTTCAGTATCCTGTCTCTGACAATGGCTAGCACTAGATGTGTCAGAGAAAATGGCACAAGAACCCCTCAATAGACAGATGTGAGATGATATACTCTCCCCCGTCCCCGGCCATTAGGTCTCATCCTAGTTAGAGATTGGCTTAAAGTACAAGGTTTAATATCACTTCCAAAAAACTATTGTCATTGATTATGACAACTCTGGATATCTTTGATAGCCATATAAATATTCAGTGCCTTTTTGAATCTTCAACAACGTACTGTAGCAGTGAGTTCCACCGTCTAATTACACATTGCATAAAAATGTATTTCCTTGTATCAGCTTTGAATTTCCCACTTTTTACTTTTGCAGAATGTCCCCTTGCTCTTGTATTATGAGACAGGGAGAACAGAAGCATCCAATCTCTCTTCACTAGATTAGTTATTTTATTATAGCAAACCACCAGGTCTGCTATAGGTAAGGTTTAGACCAGTTTTCTCTGTAAAGCACAGATTGCCTTGAAATCTGGTGTGCCTCATAGAAACATTAGCTAAGATTAGTGTTCCAAATTTGGAGTCATTTGACCAATGGGTTACTGAGATATATATGTTTATCATGTCCCTGCTTATTTACCTCCTTTCTAAGGTACCAGTCCCAATCTTTTCAGTCTCTCTTCATATGAGAGTTTTTTTTCCACCATTCACATGTTACTCAACACACAGAAGGGTTGCAGCCCCACATTCAACAATTTCAGGTGAAAATCAGTTTGAACTGACTACGATGCACAGTTTGGGATTTTGCATTACTTTGCTGTGGAATTTGCCACTGCATAATGAATTTTTTTTTTTTACACAAAAGCTTTTCATGTTTTTGCAAAGTTCCAGTAATGATGATTAGCATGCTGGCAAAGCTATAGCATTTGCTAATATGGGAAGCATTAGGCAACTTTAATATAGGTGTTGCTTTCAGCTCTACCTATAATACACACTACTTAATTGAAGTCAATCATACTCTTCCGCCCACCCCAGAAGCCCAGCAACATTGCAGGCCTGCCTGATGACCGACCTTGCTATTAGGTAGCAAAAGTATGAGATCAAAGGAATTAAAGTGCTCCCTTCTCTAGTACTTCAATCAGTGATATGAGCAATTAAATATGAATTAATCTAAGGAAGATAAAAATGCAGATGTAGAATAAGAGCTGTCGGAATCACCTTGAACTTGTGCTTAGTGCCGCTTAGCCTGTGTGATTAAAGACATTTAAACTCCATTAAAAATCTGGTGGTTATAATGTTAGAAACACCTTGTCAGCCGGGTGTCCTGAATGCCTCCTGTGGGGAGTAACCTTTCCATCCACGAGTTCATGTATGAATTCAGAGTGACTGTCCCTGTAAATATAAACAAGCAGCACAGTTTTTCTGTGGTGAAAGGAGATAAGGTTATACCACATTTTACTGGCGCAGAAGGATGATGATGTAGAAGACAATAGCAATTACGTTTGGCTTGTTCCTGAATCGATCATTACAGGCCCTTACTCTAATTGTTTGGCTACTGAATATTACAGGAGGAAGCAGGAAGTGGAGACAATGGGTAAAATTTACCTCTCTGAAGAGGGCCTATGAAGCAATCTGACCTCACATGGGCCTGAAATGGTGTGTAGCTCTTGTGATTGCATGCTTTGCAGTCACCTTGTGCGCTTGGAACTAGACAGCAGCCTAGCCTAGTGGATAGACCATTGGACTGGTACTCAGGAGATATGAATTCTGGTCCTAGCCCTGCCACTGCCTTGCTGGGTGATGTTGGGCAAGTCACTTCACCTTTGTAAAATGTGGATGATAGTACTTATCTCCTTTGTAAAGCACTGTGAGATCCACAGATTAAAAAAAAATTATTATTTTGCATACAACAATTTGGGATACATGCCTGCAAGGCACTGAGCCCCTCCAGCAAAGGGCTGAAGACCTGCATCTTGTTGCTGATGTCTAGCATCACATAGGAGGCACTCAGAGCTTGGCTTGCAGGATCAGCCTCTTTGTTGTTTCCAGATGGAGGGACCAAGTAGTACATCTTACATAGTAATCCAGGGGCTATTTTCAGCTATAAATTACCGTAATTCACAGATGCCATTTATTAATAAATCAATGCTCTATTCTCTTTTTGAACAAAAAGGTATTGCTGACTTCATGAACTCACTTAGACTTTCCTCCCCAAAAATCAATATCTGTCCCTGGGTCAAGTTAAAAGGAGAAAGTGGAGGGGGGAATAACAAATTTCTAGAGTTGGTCAAAGACAGAGGGGGTGGGGGAGGGAAATTCACAAAATCAGCCCTCCCTTTTTTTTTCAAAAATCAAAATGTTGAGAACAATTTTCATCAAAAATGTTTAGAAAATTTCAAACAGTATTAATCATTTCAGAGATGTGCTTTACAATCAGAAGATAAATAGGTTTGTGAAATTAGTATAACAATTCTGTTATCACCTGCATACAGTTCTCAGCTATACCCCATGTGGGATAGGGGCAGAATCCACAACCATTTTTTGTATACCAATCCCCCCAAAGCCCAGACCTCAATCTCTTGTGTTAAAACAGCAGCTTTATTTGCTGTACCAACAATGGGAATTTTATCCTTTGTGATCTTGTCCTTAGAGGGCAGTATGGTCACATCACGTGCAGTAGATGGCAAGGGTACACGTACACACTAGCTAGAAGAGGTGTGTGACAAATCAGAAACTAAATTTGAAAACTTTGCAAAGTGAAGGTTTTCAGATTTAAAATTGAGTCAGAGAATGGTATAAGGTTTTGGAAATACCATAGAAATTTACACTTTTTTCTCCTCAAAAGCAGCGCTATGTACACACATGATGATGTCCCCGATTTTAAGTGGAACAAAACCAACTTTTTGAAATTTAAATTCAAAATATCTTTCAGAAGAAAATCGGTTTAATTTAGGAAATATGGTGGGTTTTGAATTCCTGCCTAGTTTAGATGTGAAAATGACCAACATAATATTTCTGAGTAACAAAACAAGCTGGAACAAAGTAGCATTTTATACCAATATCCTGAACAAAAATATTTCTTTCACTTTCACTCAGCTGTGTTAGCAAGCATACTACTATAGGCAATAAGGGCCTGATGCAATGTCCACTGAAGTCAATGGAAAGATTCCCATTGCCATCAATAGGTGCTGGAGTGGTCCCTAAATAGACACCTGGTTCACACCTTGAAAGGATGGTGCAAGGAGTGTTGTAATGGAGTTCATAATAAATACACCTCCCTTAACTGATGCATGTGAGATTAAACAGGAGTTTTCTGCATTAACCACCTACCCCTGAGAAGTAAATGGAATTGGAACTCAGCAGCTGGCGTTTGTACTAAGGAGAATGAGAGAGGCACTTTCTCTCATTACGTGTTCTTTAGGGTTGTGTTTAAATAACATACCTTCTGTTGGTTTATCCTGGAACTCTGTCCCTTTCCTCCAATTAAGCAAAACCCAACCGAAATTTAGCTCAGAGTTCATCATGGTAACTGGATGGCACAGAAAAAAGACAAATCTGATCCCGACATCACAGGGGGTTTTAAAAGTTCAAATCAATTGTCTGTAGAAAATCAATTATGAAGTAGACCAATCTGCTTTAGTGTTGAAGGGAACTGATACATTTGTAGAGTCTGACAGAATATCTCACATCTCCAGCAGAGAATAGGGAAAGGCACTGAATGGCTTATTGCGTAATGGTAAGCAAAGTATTAGCCAGAGTTGTTTTCAATCAATTTAACTAAATATTTCCAGACCCCCTCAGTGATTCTTAGATACCTATGTCTCCAGTGCCATTTACAGATATTTCAGTTAATTCACTGGCCCCTTCCTATCACCCTCTTATTGCAAAAATGTGAGGGTACATGAATTGCCTACTCTACTGTGTGCAGTAATTTGTAAAGACTCAAGAAAATGGATATTGTTAGTTTCACTAGACTCCTTGTTAGTAAGATCAAACTAAACCTGATGTGCTTTCTGGAGCACCTTCTTTTTTATCATCCGTTCTTCCTTCAGGGCTTGAGCCAAAGAGTTTCTAAGTACTCATAGGTTCCATCACTGGAATTAAGGGGAATTGTGAATGCTCAGTATTCAGTATCCTACCCCCACTGAAGTCAACAACACAACTCTCATTGATTTCAGTAACAACCGGGTTGGGCCTCAAACCCTTAGGGTATGATTCCAAAAAGGAGCTGAGTAATATCTTAATATGTCACAGGGGCGGACAAACTTTTTGGCCTGAGGGCCACATCGGGGTTCATAAATTGTATGGAGGGCCGGTTAGGGAAGGGGATCGTGGCCCGGCCCCTGGGACTCCTGCCCCATCCACACATCCCCGCTCCCTGTCCCCTGACCGCCCCCAGACTCCTCCACCCCATCCAACCCCTTCTCTCATTCCTGACAGCCCCCTGGGACCTCTGCCCCATCCAACCACCCCCTTCTCCCGGCCCCTGATTGCCCCCTGCCGCCCCATCTAACCCCTCTTCCTTCCTGACTGCCCCCCCGGAACCCCTGCCCCCCATTCAAAC